TACATTCGCAAAAATCAGGAAAACGCGGAATGAAAAATGAAGGGAGGCAGGGTTGTTTATATAGGCCGAAGTCGGGAAGACGAAGGGTTTCCTCGATGCTTGCACCTCGCCCAACGACAGCCAATCAGAAGCAAGGAGGAAGCGGGCCGAATGTTTCATGGGCCTTGAAACCACATCGACGAGCCCAAAGCCCATCTACTCGCCGACTGGGGGGGCTACTGTTGGGCATGGGCTTCAACAGTAGTCACTTTTAAAGCCCACTTCCGAAAAAGCCCAGCGAACAGAAGTCCAACGAGTTCGGCCCAGAAGGTGGAAGTCCGACGAGCTCGCACCAGTAACTGACGATCCAGGCCCAGAGAAAGCCCAGCCTTCTTCTGCAGTGAATGACGTCAGCACTGGTCCCAAAGCAACCCTTGTACCTTATTCTATCCACTTTTAGTATAAATAGGGGTCCCCATCCCATGAGTTGTATCATCACTTTTCCACTTTTGGGCAAGTACAAGGGAATTTAAGAGCTAAAGCAATCATTCTCTAACACCAAAAAGGAAAGAACGGCCTGATCGAACCCGATCGATCAGAAAGTACAAGAATTATTCACAGAAAAGCGGCGCAGAGTCCGTTCTTATCACATCGATATTCCGACCTCAAGTGCTCTTATCACCAGGTTCCGACCTCCGATTCACCGACCTCGTCATCCCGATCTCGTTTTCAGATACAGGTTCCGACCTCGAAAACGACGATCTCATTCCACATCCCGATACTCAGAAAACCGAACACAAGGTTCGTCAACCGATCTAAGCTTTCGAGCTCCATACACAATCTTTTCTAGCACGAATAATATAACATGTTGTAGCCCGTTTCCGAGTTAATATCAATAAACNGGAATTTNCGATCCTCTTACTGTATATAAATTTATTGTCGAACTCATGGATCAACATAAATCCAAAGAAACAGTGTTTTGCTAACACACAGAATCTGAAATTACATACAAGAGTCATTGTGAATGGTCCCATATAAGTAGTGACACAAGCCTTTAACAAGAAAATAAAAACACCACTTTTCGTCTACCTTGTGACTTCAACATCAGTCTAGTGCTCTCTGTCTCTCAAATTTATAACGTCTTGAGCTTAGATAACGTTCCTAACTCTGAGAAGTAAATGCTTTGAGTCCCACTGGCTAAACCTATATCACGAGGGTTAAGCAGCTCTATTCCCTGCACATGAGTGAAAGCTAGACTCGATATCAAACCCGAAGTTGTAGCACCACTACTACTTGCATATTGTCTTTCTTTGAGCTTCTTAGCATTAAGTTTCAGCTTGCTCGGGAGACTAGACACACGAAGCCTATTGCTCTTTACTTGTCCAAGCATTCCAAATCCTTGACCTAATCCATCACCTCGAGAGCTCTCTTCTGCTACACCAAATGCAATCCTATTGGCCTGCTTCCTCATTTCTGTCACTGCATACCTTTCTTTCGTCTTTCTTAGTCGGCGACCGCCTCTTCTCTTCTTAGGCTCGGAATCTGGGACTTGAAATGGCTTAGGTTGCCTTGCAGGAGAAGGTTCTTGGCACTTTTTAATCTTCCTAAGGATCTCTTCCTTCAAAGCTTTGCCATTTGTCCCTGATGGGTCAACTCCACTGGCGTCGTCAACTCGTGCCGCTAAAGTCGATTTTCCAGCCAAGAGCTTGATAACTCGCAACCGAAGTCCAGGAGGAGTGGTTTGGAAAATCTCACTCTGCTCAAGATAACCCACACGGGACTGTGATGTTGCACTAGAGAACCCATCAAGATTCTTCTTCTTCTGACCAAGAAGTTGAACATAACAAGCAGGCATTTTAGCAAGCTCTGATAAACCTCCAGCATTCCCAATGAGCTTAGCTGCAACATCACTCCCGACAATAGCGGAAAGATTTGGTGCAATAGATCCCATCTTGCTCTCAACAAAGCCATGTACCTTCTTCTTTGCGGAATCAAGACCAAGAACTCGATCACATGCTTCGATCGTCTTTTGCAGTTCATCTTCTGTTAAGGGTTTCCCTTTTGTGGTTAAAGAAGTAAGTGAAACAGCTGTAATAGTAGCTTTTGGAAGGAGACCTTTCAGATCAACAAGGCTTAGATCCATCTCATTGCCAATTTGTTTCACAACAAAGGCGTACTCGATTGCGTTATGTACAATCGACTCAAGCTCTTGGAACTTTGTTCTGTACTTGTCACGGATAAAGTTGTGTACAATGAAAATTTCATTCTCAATATCAACTAAGAGCTTATTGCAATCCAAGATTAGGTTGTATTCATCTACAGGGTCATCATGATCATTGGATTCGTTTTCGAGTGCCTTGTCCACTTTGTGCATTGTATCAGAATATCTCTGAGTTTTCTGTAGCTTAGAAACATGATCGAGATCATCATCTGTTGGAACCGTGATTTTGAATCAATTGGGTCATTGAGTGGGCTTGTTGTTTTGTCAAAATGGGTTCTAAAATGTGAATGAGAAAAGCCTCTTGGTTGTTAAGTGAGTGACACTTAAAAAGTCCCACATCTAAAGTTTGGGAGTTTTTCATAGTGTATATATATGGTCATTCATGTGTCTATGTTCAAAACATAACACATCTATAGACCAAGTGAGAGGAGGAAAACTCCACACGCGCGCCGAACCGAACC